TCTGCATGTTCCTCATTCTGCACCACGCCGGCCGCTTTGTTCCGTCTAATGGCCAATAAAGTTTTATTGGAGGACATTCCGCGGGTCAATTACTCATCATTATCACAGAATACTGGATCTATCTCACGCCTCCATTACCCAGCAGCAGCCAATCAGACGCTCGGCACCCGGTCACATGATAAAACGGTTCAGATCCAAGTTTTGTTGTGTCGGCATCCTGGATCTCTCCGGGGCCCCCCTGGATCTCTCCGGGGCCCCCGAGGTTCCCCCCTGGATCTCTCCGCTAACATACCGCATGACCAGACACCCCTCCCCCTCCCTCCTGGGCTCCTCCTCCTCTCTGGACTCCCTTCTACACACATCTGGCTGCAGCTGTCACTCCGCTTCTTCTCCTGTGTACTGACATCTGAGGCCTCATGTGATCGCCGCCGTGATTGGCTGTCCTGAGGATCCCATCCCAAGAGTAGGTGCGCGCTCAGGGGAAGCGGTGTTGGGGGATGGGCAGATCTGTCCGCTCCCCTCCTCCAATCACTGGGCGGGTTTCTGTCATCAGGTGCAATTCCTCCTGTTAGTGGCTCTTGGGGGGAGTGGTGGTTGATCCCCGGTGGGCTCTGACGTTCCCCGGTGGGCTCTGACGTTCCCCGGTGGGCTCTGACGTTCCCCGGTGGGCTCTGACGTTCCCCGGTGGGCTCTGACGTTCCCCGGTGGGCTCTGACGTTCCCCGGTGGGCTCTGACGTTCCCCGGTGGGCTCTGACGTTCCCCGGTGGGCTCTGACGTTCCCCGGTGGGCTCTGACGTTCCCCGGTGGGCTCTGACGTTCCCCGGTGGGCTCTGACGTTCCCCGGTGGGCTCTGACGTTCCCCGGTGGGCTCTGACGTTCCCCGGTGGGCTCTGACGTTCCCCGGTGGGCTCTGACGTTCCCCGGTGGGCTCTGACGTTCCCCGGTGGGCTCTGACGTTCCCCGGTGGGCTCTGACGTTCCCCGGTGGGCTCTGACGTTCCCCGGTGGGCTCTGACGTTCCCCGGTGGGCTCTGACGTTCCCCGGTGGGCTCTGACGTTCCCCGGTGGGCTCTGACGTTCCCCGGTGGGCTCTGACGTTCCCCGGTGGGCTCTGACGTTCCCCGGTGGGCTCTGACGTTCCCCGGTGGGCTCTGACGTTCCCCGGTGGGCTCTGACGTTCCCCGGTGGGCTCTGACGTTCCCCGGTGGGCTCTGACGTTCCCCGGTGGGCTCTGACGTTCCCCGGTGGGCTCTGACGTTCCCCGGTGGGCTCTGACGTTCCCCGGTGGGCTCTGACGTTCCCCGGTGGGCTCTGACGTTCCCCGGTGGGCTCTGACGTTCCCCGGTGGGCTCTGACGTTCCCCGGTGGGCTCTGACGTTCCCCGGTGGGCTCTGACGTTCCCCGGTGGGCTCTGACGTTCCCCGGTGGGCTCTGACGTTCCCCGGTGGGCTCTGACGTTCCCCGGTGGGCTCTGACGTTCCCCGGTGGGCTCTGACGTTCCCCGGTGGGCTCTGACGTTCCCCGGTGGGCTCTGACGTTCCCCGGTGGGCTCTGACGTTCCCCGGTGGGCTCTGACGTTCCCCGGTGGGCTCTGACGTTCCCCGGTGGGCTCTGACGTTCCCCGGTGGGCTCTGACGTTCCCCGGTGGGCTCTGACGTTCCCCGGTGGGCTCTGACGTTCCCCGGTGGGCTCTGACGTTCCCCGGTGGGCTCTGACGTTCCCCGGTGGGCTCTGACGTTCCCCGGTGGGCTCTGACGTTCCCCGGTGGGCTCTGACGTTCCCCGGTGGGCTCTGACGTTCCCCGGTGGGCTCTGACGTTCCCCGGTGGGCTCTGACGTTCCCCGGTGGGCTCTGACGTTCCCCGGTGGGCTCTGACGTTCCCCGGTGGGCTCTGACGTTCCCCGGTGGGCTCTGACGTTCCCCGGTGGGCTCTGACGTTCCCCGGTGGGCTCTGACGTTCCCCGGTGGGCTCTGACGTTCCCCGGTGGGCCGTGACGTTCCCCGGTCCGGCGCGCTTTTGTGGTCAGACTTGGGGCAGCACTTAGTTTATGAGGGTTTTGGGGATCAGGGGGTACAATGGGAGGTGTAGTCAGTTCTCTTTGTGTTCTGTCAGCGGACGGTTTGGCCGGAGTGCGGCTTTGTGCGCGGCGTGGGACGGCGTCCAAGAGACCCGAGGTTGCCTGGAGACCCGGCGGATCCCGGATCCGGATCATGTATTATTCACGGCGCTCAGCGCTTTGCATGTTTAATCTCCTTTTGTCTGCTCACTGTGGCCCTGCGGCGCGGTCGGGGCCCCCACGTAATTCTGACCGCCAATCTCTGCCGCGATGCAGATG